AAGCTGTAACTCAGATCGAAGTGCTCTGCAAAACTATCTTTCAAAATAAGATACTTCCATGACAGGAATAACTGGAGAAATTCATGACCACCAAACTAGTGCTACAAAATATTCTGAAGGATATTTTAGAAAGAGATAAAGAAGACTGCAATTCCAGGTACACCAGTAGAAAGAAGCCATCAGGCAAAAAAAGCAGTTAAACAGCAGAGAGAGATAGGGAAGCAACAACAAGAAAATAACATGATAAGGACAAGTCAGTAAATATAGGTTATAACCACTAATATTTATGGCCTTAATTCACCAATTCAGAGAGACAAATTGGTGGAATAGATTGAGAAGGAAGATCCACCAATATGTTGCATACAAGAAATACATTTAATTTGATTCCACTGAGCCATCTCCACAGCACAAAAGGTTCTGATTAAATTTGTTTTTATATTTATTTATTTTTTGACAGAACCAGGGATTGAACTCAGACCCTTGCACTTGCCAGGGAAGCGCTTATTCTACTGAGCCATCTCCTTGGCCCTAATACATTTAATTTGAAAAGAAATTCACAGTCTGAAAGTCAAAAGATAAAAAACAATACTCCATGTGAAATGAACCTGGAGAAAAAGCAGAGGTAATTATTTTATTTGCAGACAAAGTAAATTTTCAGCCAAGACTTATCAAAAGAGACAAAGGAAGTCACAACATCCTTGTACATGAAACAACTCCAGACAAACTGGTAAAACTCATAAATATATATGCAACAAATGCAAGTACACCCAACTTGTTTATATACTTGTATATAAAATAAGTATTAACAGACATAAAAATTGAAGGGCTGGCCAGATAGCTCAGCAGATTAAAGTGCCTGCTTAGGCAGTCACAGGGACCATGTTTCGATCCCCAGGGTGCTGTGCCAGCCCTGCCCCAGGGCACACTGAGATGGTGATTGAGACTGTGTTTAGTGGTACACACCTGTAATCCCAGCACTTTGGAGGCTGAACACAGGAGGATCACTGAGTCTGATCTGTGTAGTGAGACCCTGTAGACCCTGTACTAATATATATAT